GCACCTCACCCAGGACAGGCAGCACCCAGCATCCCGGCATCTCACCCAGCACAGGCAGCACCCAGTATGCCGGCATCTCACCCAAGACTTGGAACAGCTCACCCAGGACAGGTGCCCAATGCAGCACTCTGCTGATTCGGGGTGCTGGTACCACTGTGGGTCATCGTCTGTAAGTGGCCCTGCTCCACTTCAGCCTGCTGCTGTTGTCTGGAAGTATGGAGTCCTGATTATACCAGGCATGAATAGACATAGTAAGATGTGCATATGAATCTCCTTCCCTGCCTTCAGCCTTGACATTTCGGGGGAGAAGTCTTGGATCACTACAAAGTGGAGGGTCCATTGTAATATCGGAGAGCTTAGGAGAGTGATTAAGTGTTCTACAACCAGGCAGACCAAACTAACTTCCTGATTCTCCCACTGTTACTGACTTTGTGACCTTGTATGAGTACAAGTTCTCTAAATCTCCTATTTCTCCTTGGTTTAGAAAAATAAAAAGATAATGTAGCAGCAGCGTCACCAAATTATTGCACGAAACAAATGCAATAATGCATGTGAAATGTCTACTGTTATGCCTGACCCAGTACACTTCAATTAGGTTTAACTGTCAACGTCATTATCTTACCCACCTCTGTTGTTGAATCTTCCTGACTCTCATCACTCCAGGTTGGCTAAAGCAAACTTTATGCTAAAAAGCCGCTTTCTGTGTGTTTCATACTCACAGGAGGATTTGGGAAGAGACCTGGTCCACCTGCTTCCAAATCCTTGGGGTAAGTTCTGGAATGTTCAAGGTAGGGTAAAAATCAAAATTCTTTTTCCTTCACCAGGACAGGTCTAGGGAGTAAGTCTTCTTGGACATCCTAGGTTATAATGACTAGTGAGCAGTACCTTGTGATATATAATGTGTCACTCACACAGAGCCTCATCTAGGCAGCCTCTGTGTGTTAACCTCTTTGACTTGCTGAGCTACTGAATGCTGAGGAAGTCAGAGATGTGGCCATAAACTGTAGGTACTTTATTGAGTCAATAGTCAGAACATAGAAATTGAAGCAAACAATATGTGATACTTATAATAAATACTTATAATAGAGTGAATGTTGACATTAGTGAGGGTAAATAATAGATAATGTAATATATTACATATATTAATTACATATAATATATATTATAATATATAATATTATATCTATATATAATAGCTGCTGTAGCAGACAAAGTTTCTAATCACAATAGTATAACACAGTGAAGGTTTCTTTTTTGCTCAGAGTCCAATTCAAATATTCCTGAACAGATGGGGGGAGCCTTCTATAGTATCTTTGAGGCCCAAGTTCCTTCCATTGTGTGGCTCCATCATCTTCTAGGACTATATAGTCTCTCTTCAGAAAGTATAGAGCCTCACAAGAGGGGTTTTTATAAATCAGGCTTAGGAAAGTCGTACATTACTTGTCTTGCTCTGTTGTCCAGAGCTAATCAGAATTCAGATGTACTTAACTATGAAATCTAGCTGCATGCCCAGGAGGTAAAGAAAATAAATGTTAATACCACAGATTTTTCCAAAAAGGATATTAGAAATGTGTTTCTACTGTATTCCCATAGAATTAGGGTGACTGTGTTTTCTGAGTTTCTAGCACCAACCTGCATAGGGGTGGAGGGAGGAGGGTCTGAATTGCTGGCTGGATTCTCTACATTCTGATTTCTTCTCAGGGACAGGTTTGCCATCCCTGCAGTGGAGACCCGCCCTAGCATCTGGGGCGAGTGCCCGCCAAAGTTTGCTACCAAACTAGGCCGAGTGGTGGTCAAAGAAGGACAGATGGGACGATTCTCCTGCAAGATCACTGGCCGGCCCCAACCACAGGTTACCTGGCTCAAGGTGAAGTTTTTGTCTACTCTGCCTTTGACCTAAGTTTGGGAACCATTGTAAAGACTAGTGAGAGTCTGTCTTTCTAGTTTTATTTCAACTGTAAGTGATTTTCAAGGATTCTGTACATGTTTTATAATAATGTTTGGTTTTGCCTCTTTTACATACTTCCCTGTTGTACAGACCATAGTGTTAATCATGATTTTGAAATTTACATGATAGTGGAAAACATGTAGGAGCTAAGACCGAATGACAATCTCAAGAGAGTAGAAACTGAGGTCAAAAGATTAAATTTCTAGCCGTGGCTGGCAGGTTCACAAAGTGTATGGTTTTGGGCAAGTCATTTGATCTCTGAAGCTCTGTTTCCCTCTGTAAGGAAGTAGTGACAACACTTCAGAAAACTGGAGGGAAGATCCATGAAGGGCTTTGTAATCATTCAATGCTGAACAAAGATAAAGGTGGAGGGAGTGATGGGCAAGGGAGAAGCAGAGGCAGCATAGAGTAGGTGGGAATTAACAAGGCTGTAAGGTGCCTTAAGTTACAGTTGAGACAAGGTCAAGAAAAAGTAGGATTTTCAAAGATGAAATTCTTAGATAAAAGAATGATGGAACCTTTACTGAACTGATCCAAGAGAAAAAAAGAAAAAGAAAGCAAAGGAAGGCTGAAATAAAGTTTGAGATCTGGTGTTCATCGGGTCCCTATGAGTCATGCTTGACTCATTAGAACCTAACAACAACAACCTCAAACTTGAGTTTCTTTAAAGTTAATTTCCATCCTCAAAATCACTAGTAAAAAGAGAGATGCAAATAAAAAAACCACAATAAGATATCATCTCATTCCAGTAGCAGTGGCAAAGTTTAACATGACAGCAAGTAATAAATGTTGGACACAATGTGGTGAGATAGAGGCTCTTAGATGTTGTTGGTGGGACAGTAAAATGGTACAACCACTCTGGAAGGCAGTTTGGCATTTTCTTGGAGAGCTGAACATAGAAATTCCATCTGACTCAGCTAATCTACTGCTTGGACTATACCCCAAGAAAATGAGAACTGAGGCACCAAAGGAGACTTGTACACCAATGTTCATAGCAGCATTATTCACCAGTGCAAGAACATGGAAACAGCCCAAATGTCCCACCACAATTGAATGGATTGAGAAATTATGGTACATTCACATGATAGAATAATATACAGCATGCAGGAGCAATGATTTTGTAAATCACTACCTAACTTGGGAGGGACTGGAGAGCATTATGCTAAGTGAACTTAGTCCCATAAAGACAAATACTGTACAAGACCAGTATTGTAGAAATAGAAGGATAAATAGTAAAACATGTATGAGGGCCTAAGGGGGACGACGGAGGGAACAGAGGGGTGAAGATGGGTATGGGGAGGTAATCATAGGTCACACATGGGTGGAGGGCGGGGTGGGTAAAGGAAACGGGAGAGATCTGGTGTGAAAGACAATTTTTATGAACTTTGTAAGTAAACAAGTATAAAAGTTTTCTTTAAATATAAATAAAGTTAACTTCCAGGCAAAGGCTCTAACCTAGACCAAATACCACACCATATGCATAAACCTCAAGTCAGGCCCCTAGATTAATAAAAGGCTGATATCTTGTTATGTTGACCCAGAGGGCTTTGCTACCTTATTATGGTGTCTCTGTCCTACCATGGGTAATAGGAGAAAGAAACACAGCCAAGAAGTGAGCAGGTTTTTAATGACCAAATTACTCTATTACTGTCCTCAGGGAGAGGTTCCTCTGCAGCCAAGTGCCCGTGTGTCCATGTCTGAGAAGAATGGAGCACAGATACTGGAAATCCAGGAAGTCAGCCAGGAAGATGTGGGCGTGTACACGTGCATGGTAGTCAATGGGTCAGGCAAGGCCTCCATGTCTGCTGAGCTTTCCATCCAAGGTATCTCCTGGTGGGGGTGTGGGGAGATAGTGAAGAATGAGTCTCCTCTGATATCTGAACCCTAGTGCATCTGTGTGTGTACACATTGCGTGTTTACACACTCATGCATTGCCCAGAATGAAATCTTTAACCAGAAGTAAGGGCGGTGGGGTAGGCATCATAGTCCCTGTCCAAAGGGAGGAGCTAGGAGGCAGGCTGCCACCCTCACTGTGTCTGCACACTCCACCCTCATGTCTGGGTCTTTGGTCTTTTCTTCTCATTCAAGCTCTCTTTTTAGATGTATAATTGAAGGTTAGAGATATGGACATGGCTAATGTCTTGACATCACCCTAAATTTGACCTGTTTAAAACAAGGCTTATCATCCATTCTACCCTTCAAAACAGATCTTCCTTCAACTTAACTCTTGCTATCCCAGGATCCCCACTTTCCTCTTCGCACGCACTAGATGTTCCATCATCACCTCTGATCTCTACCTCCTCCATCAACAATCTACCTCATGATGATTCTTTTCTTTACAAGATCTTTGAATATGTCTCTTCTATTTTCCTCAATTTCTCTAACTTCCTGGGGAAGCAGGAGGAACTAATGAGAAAAGGGGTTGTTGTTCCTTCACTGTAGCAGAAACCTTGACTAGGGCTGGATTTGAGGACACGGAAAGGAGATAACCATTTTCTTTTCCATGCCTCCTTGCTTTTTTAAGAAATTTTCCTCTTTGCTCTCTTTACCTTTTCTTTTGTGTGCCTATTTTTCATAATTCACAGAAAGAAATATATTGTACATTGCAACCCAGAATGCACATATGTGTATAAACATGTTTAACTGAAGCAAGTTCTGTGAAATAGTGCTTTATTATGCTCACCATTAAGAATACAAAGATTCTCACCATTAGGCCAATTGACAAAGAAGAGACTGAGATTGTTAACAATTTCAGCTTGCTTAGTTTCACAACACTCTTGTCACCAGTTGTCAGGAAATCAAAAGACGAATCATGTTGGAAAAGCTACTGTCAGGGACCCCTCCAGAGTGCTGAAGAGCAAAGATGTCAGTCTAGAGACTAAAGTGGGCCTGCTCCAGGCCATGGTCTTTGCAATCACTTGTTATGCATCAGAAAGCTGAACAATGATTAGGTATGACAGAAGGAGAATTGGTGCCTTTGAGCTGTGGTCCTGGAGAAGAATATTGAATATACCATGGCCTGCTAGGAGAACAAATGGGTTCATCCTAGAGAGGATAAAACCAAACTGCTTCTAGGAGGCAAAGATTTTGAGGCTCCATTTGACATACCTTTGGGCATATTTCAAGGATTGACCAGTCCTTGGAGAGGGACATCATCCTCAGAAGGGTGAAGGGACAGTGCAGGAGAGGAAGACCCCAGATGAGATGGATTGATACAATAACTGGGGTAATGGGTGTAGCTGTGTTGGCGTCCATGAGACTGGATCAGGATAGGGCAGGCTTCAGAGCAGTTGTACATAGGGTCAATATGGGTCAGAATCGACTTGACTGCATGTAACAACAACATGTTAAAAAAAAAATAATCTTGGTCCTGATCAGAGACTTTGCCTCATAAACCACAGCTGAATGAGGCCCTGCTGTTAGGTGTCTAGAACATTGTATTTCTCACTCACCCTTTCCTTGTCCTTAACCTGAAAATTGAAACAAATCAATAAACAAATCATTTGTCTTTGAGTTGATTCTAACATGAGGAATGAGTGTGTATTGGGGTAGAACTACTCTGCAGGGGGTTCGGTGGCTGGATTTTCAGAACAGATCGCCATACGTTTCTTCTAAGTTACCTCAGGGTGGGCTCAGACTTGGCCGGTCAGTATTGGAGCATGTTAGCCACTTGCATCATTCCAGGGCTCTGCAACGCCAGGAAAATGACAAAGTGCTCTCTCACTTTCTGTCATTACTGTCAAGTAAAAATCAACTCCTAGCTGACCCTCCAGTCGCCTAGCGAGTAAAGAGTTGTACTTCCAACCCAAAGGCAAACAGTTCGAATCCACCATCTATTCCATGAGGTAGAGGTGAGCAATCTCCATCTCCAAAAGAAAGATGGACCATCTCCTCCTGAGGTTTATAGCCTGAAAACCCGCTGGAGGGGCAGCAAGGAGTTGGCTCTCACTCAGTGAGAATGTTTCTGTTGAAATCTAACTGGACAGACTGCCTGTTTTTCTCCCCTGGAGCAGCTGGTGGATTCAAACCTCTTTAATGCCCTACGATTGAATTAAAAGCTGTCTACAACAAACAACAACAGTTCAGAAGTACATAATGGCACAATGATAAACTGTCCTATATTGACTTTAAAAGATTCCAGCAGGCGAGTGGGGACTGGGGGATGAAAATAAGCAAAAAAATAAAAGGGATTGATAAAAATGGTAAAATGTTGAGAGGGCCTTAATCTGGCTGATACCACTCAGGACTTGTTTTATCTTTCTCTCTACTGGTATGTAGTTTTGAAATTTTGCCATGGTGAAAGTTATTTCAAGATTATGATAGAAAAAATTACTGAGTGTATATTTTGCTTTTAAAGAATGAAATTAAATAATACTTTATAAATTTTTAAAGCAGTTATTTATCAAAACTGATCCCTTTTTGAAGGGTTGTCTGGGGCTTTTTTTAAGGACATGTACTACTTAAAGGTGTCTGAGTTTGGAATTTTCAGTAGATATTTTTGTGAGTCTGTAGGTTGAGTTTTATAAGCTAGTGAGCAGGAACAAGTGGTGTGCCCTCAGGGTGTGGTCGCAGAGGTCACTAGGGGAGAGCCCATGCCAGGCAGAAGGAGGGAAGGACAGTACCCAAAACGCCACCAGTGTGCCCAGGGCAGGGTGGGTTCATCAACTTAACCAAAGGTGTTCAGAAGCAGGGCAACCAAGCTGGTGATGGGGACGTGCTCACGAAGTGAAACTCCCCAAGTTAAATGGATTGCTGCTTTATTATGTTCTCTTCTTAGTGAATAAAATAGTCCACTAACTGTTCTTCCTCCTTTTTCTCAGGCTTGGACAACATCAACAGGTATGTCAAACCTTTGTGATTCTTACAGTTTCCAACCTGAAATGCCCTATAAGGAAAAGAGGTGTTGTTAGGAAGAAATGTACTGAATTTCTGAATCATCAGGGAGGAAGGGAGAATTGGCTGGTTTTGGCTTCATTTTTATTTGGATGGGTTTTTTGTTTGTTTGATTGATTTTTGGGTTTTTGTGAATTTTAATGAAAGTTTACAGACTTAGGGTTTCCAGTCATTCATTGTTGCACTTTTCTCCCTGCCCCCCCCAATTCATTCTTCTCCTTGAAAAGTAAAACTCTTTTGTTGTTATGCAATCCCTGCCCCCAAGTCCACTCCACTGTGCAGCCTTCATTCTGGACTCCTGTCATGACAATAATTCCCAATAATATATCCCTTTTAAACAGCTCTCTCCCTCATCTGTTTCAATGCAGTATACATTATCCATTCCCTCCTTCTTTGTCTTCCCTCAACCGTGATGCCAGTCCCATTTTAAAACAGTGGCCCTATGCAATATTTGTCTTTTTATGGCTGACATATTTCACTCAGCATAATGTCCTCCAGGATCATCCATCTTTTATAATATTTCATGAGTTCCTTGTTTTTCAGTGCTGCATAGTATTCCATTGTGTGATTGTACCAGAGCTTCTCTATCCATTTGTTTATTGGTGGTATTTGGATGTTTTGTTTTGCTTTTGTGTTACAGTACAAGTTCCACATCAGGAAGGATGCCAGTGTTGAGACTCTGAGAGATTGGGGATTAGTCATTTCAGTGTCATCTTTTTTAGTATCTATGTGGCATCTTCACTTACCATCCTTTAAAAAGATGCTTTGCTTTAAAAGGGGGCCTTACCACTCTTCAGGTCGTAATGCATTCATTCATTCAGCAAACCTACATCAAGAACTTCATTTCCTGTGTGGAGCTGCAAAAAGGGCATTTGTAAGGTGCAGAAGGCCAACTCTGACTTCTACTCACTTCAAAAAGGGAAACTGTCCCCATCAATAATGTCCATGTTGTTGTTGTTGTTCATTGCCTTCCAGTTGAGCACGACTCATAGCGACCCTATGAACAAAAGGTCTGAAGCCCCTTTGTAACTATCGACATTTATCAAAGCTCATAGATTTTCAAGAAGCATGTTATTTAAGAAGTGGTTGCCACTCCTGCTTCCAAACCTGCCAGAGTATGTTGTTATGTGCCACTGAGTCACCTGCAATGTATAGCAACCCTGTGTACAGCAGCTCTGAATCCTTCCCTGTCCTGAGCCAGTCTCACTAATTTTGACACACCAAGCCCCATTGTCCCAGTTACTGTATCAATCCATCTCATCCGGGGTCTCCCTCCCCTGTCCATCCAGCCTTCTGAGCATGATATCCTCCTCTAAGGACCAATCTGTCCTGTTCACGTACCCCGACACCATACAAAGAGCTACATAGTCAGACTTTCCACCCCTCCACATGCTCTTGCAGTTATTTTTACTAAAGCCCACATGATTGTTGCAAGACTCAGAGACTTTACTCATATAGTTGTGGGGTTTATTAGGAAGATAGGTTGGAGATTGGAGGAGGCAAAGAATATCACCAATACAAGTCCAGATTTAGTCCAATAGTCCCAAGCCAGATTAACAGCAAGACACAATTCCTCAATTAGTGAAAGTCCAGGTTTCAGTTCAACAGCACAAATGCAAGAAGCCACTGGTTTCCTCACTTACTCAGCAGACTTGATCTCAGAGCAATTACAAGTCAACTTTTCCAGGTTTCAGTTCAGCAAGCAAAACCTTTAACTGTGGCTACGTCTCCAAGTTTCCTCTCTTCACACCAATGCCATATAGTCTCTTCACCCTCTCTCCATCATTCTCTCTCTCTCTCTCTTCCCTCCCACCCCACAGATGTTGTTGATGATTTATAAGACTATGTGTCCATGGCTAAGGTAGTTGTAAACCATGCCCCCAACACAATGGATAGAAAAGCCAATTTTCAAGGGCTTTGACACCCCAGAGGCTCAGCACTAAACACTGGGTCTAAACAAATGAGCAAACAGTCTAGTCTAGAAAAGGGCATTAGGCAAGGTGGCATGGGTACATACTTAGAAACTGCAGATATATGGATTACAAATCAACATTCATTTAGGTTAGGCTATCGGGACAGCCTTTTCCAGGATTTTATCTTAGAGCTCAGAACTACAAAACATGATCATGACTTCTCATAACTGAGTTGGAATCTACTCACCCTGCAGGGCGGGTTTCAAAGGCATAAGTCACATGGGAGGGGATTACCTGTCTTTTTTTCCTCAGAGCTGCTAGTAGATTCGAACTGGTTGCCTTTGGGATAGAAATACAACTCCTTGCTAGTTAGATATACTGTATTAGATTGTACATCTCTATTAGCTCGCTGCTGCTAGGCCTCTAGATCTCCTTATCATGACTAGGTAAATAAAAACTCAAGGAGAAAGTGTTCCAGAGAGATGTTGTTTGTTATGTTGTGTTATGTTATGTTGTGTTATGTTATGTTATGTTGTGTTATGTTATGTTATGTTGTGTTATGTTATGTTGTGTTATGTTATGTTGTGTTATGTTATGTTATGTTGTGTTATGTTATGTTATGTTATGTTATGTTATGTTATGTTATGTTATGTTATGTTATGTTGTTATGTTATGTTATGTTATGTTATGTTATGATGTGACGTGATGTTGGTAGGTATGGTATGGCATGGCATGGCACGGCATGGTATGATATGGGCCTTCAAGTGTCACTCTATGTGATGAAGTAAATTTCCTACAAATTGCCCTACAAATTCCCTCACCTGTTGGCTGTAGTCTTTATGGGATCAGAGCACCTGATCTTTATCTTCTAATCCCTGGGTGTGTTTGAACCACCAATGTTTCAGTTAGCAGCCATCTCCTTACCTTAGTTGCCCTTATTTCCTGGAGCTCCTTCAAGAGAAAATAGAAAATATGAAAACAGAGGAGAAGTGGGAATGCTTGAGTGCCCCAAACACTCATGTGGCTGCAATTTTGCCTGCTGTGGAGACCATGAGGCTCAGGAGGGAGGCTGCAGCTGGCTCGTGGAGGGCTGTCCTTACAGGCGGCTTGAGGAGCTCAGTTTTATTTTCAGTTTCCTAGAGGAGCTGCTGAAGAGTTCTTAAGCTTGGAGCGACATAATTTGGTTTCTACCTTTAGAAGACTGACTATGGTTACTCTGTGGAAAATGGATTTGAGAGGGGCAGAGAGGATAAGGGAGAACGAGCTGGATGTTTGGAAACTGGGGAAGCACTAGTGGAAATGGAGTGTAGGGGGAAAGGCAGATTGAAGAACTCTAGAGAAAATGGGGCTCTGGTGTGAGTAAGGAGGGACAGGGAAGTGCCAAGAGTAGCTGCTTACTTTCTGGGTTGGAAAACAGAAAAGTGCCAAGGAAACAGAACTGCTCTTAATTTGTGGTCATTTGTCATTCCTGGAATCTGCCTTCTGCCAGGTAATGTCTGTGAGTAACCAGATGCTATCGTACCTCCCTTTCCCGGGTTTTCCCCTCCGCACTGTCACACAGGTCATCTGTGAGAGGCACACAGGCTGCCAGTGCAGACGTCAGGAGGGAAGTAACCAATGGACTTGCAGAGGGATCCAAACGGAGCAGCCTAGAGACTGCGACCAGAAGTCAGGACTGTTCCAGAACCCAGAAGGATGCCTCCCCTGCCTGGGCCACCAACAGCCAACCTCAGCCCTTGAGGGAGTCCAAAGTGGAGTCACCGGGGGACTCCCCCAGAAAAGTCCTGAAGGCCCCTGTCCTTCAGATGACTTCCAGCACTATCACCCTGCAGGCAGCAAAAACCCAGTCCAAGCAGAGCACCCCAGCCTCAGGGGCCCTCACACCCCCCAGAGAAGAGCGGAAGAGGCCAGCAGTGTCCCTTCCAGCCACCCACCACTCAAGAGAGTCTGATCTCCAGAACCAACAACATGTGAGCAAGGTTGCTGCCAGGAAGGTCCCCTTGGAGAGCTGGAGGGAGTCAGCAGTCCCCAAATTTGAGAGCAAACCCCAGAGCCAGGAAGTGAGCGAGGATCAAAGAGTCACATTCAGATGTGAGGGTGAGTAGAGTTATCTGGTGTCACTGGTCCCCAAAACACAGCCCCTTGGTAGCCCCCCTGCTTCAGTACACTGCTGATGCAGAGCCTCCTGCGTTCACCCCATCACCTTGAACGAGGCCATCCAAGAAACTGCCATGCAAGGCTCGACTAGTAATGCCCCTCATTCTGGAGAAACATGACCCATTGCTCGGTGTTGAATACAGCATCAATCCTGTGTGCAAATTTCTCCCACAACCACCCTCTTCCAAGATCAGAAGCTACTTTGCTCTTTCCTCCCTTCTCCCAGCCATGGCTGCCCTGGAGACCTGGCCCCTTACATTTGTATTCCTCCTCCCTGAAGCCCCTAACTGTGTGTTAGGATGTTCATACTTTGGGAGCAGAAGATTGAGGTTAAGAAAGTAGGAGGCACCCAAGACTGAGTCCTTTTATTGCCGCCCTGACCCAAAACAATGAACTCTGTAGGGGTCTCATGTCTTTTGCTTGAACCTATAGTTTCAGGGGTCCCAAAGCCAGAAGTGACTTGGTTCCTGGACGGTGTGCCCATCAAGAGGCGAGAAGGCACCATTGAGGTTTATGAAGATGCTGGCTCCCACTTTCTCTGTCTGCTGAGAGCCCGCGTGAGGGACAGTGGGAAATACAGCTGTACAGCCTCCAGCGTCCGAGGTCAGGTGTCCTGCAGCTGGACCCTCCTGGTGAAAAGTGAGTGCGTTCCTCCAGATCACCGTAGGTTCTCTGTGAGGTCACCCTGGTTTCTCTAGGTTCTCACATTCATGGAGTGCACCCTACATTGTGGACATTCCACCACTCGAGCCCTAGCTCTAGTCTAGGAGATACCATCAAATATCAGCACCCACATGCCAAGGCCAGATATATTGCTTCTGGCCAGTTGTTCTTAATCAGTAATTCACTTTAGGATCATCTCAAAATAAACTCCAACTCCATATACCCTACTCCCAAGCCAGCTCAGAACTACCTGTTTAAGGTTCATCAGATGTCAGAGTAATGCTGTGACTCACTTTTTTTAAAATAAAATTTTTATTCTATACTGATTTACTTATAAAGTGTGTATATATTGTCTTTCACAATGGATCTTTCCCATTTCCTTTACCCACCCCTCTCTCCACCCATCAAGGTGTGTGACCCTATGATTACCCCCCTGCCCATCCTCACCCTCTGCTCCTACCCATCTCCCCATGGATACATGATTTACAAGTTATCTTTTGATTATGGTCTTATACAGTATTTGCTATGACTCATTTTTTTAACCACAGAGAACTAACAGCATTCACTAAATGTATGGCTTTAGAGTAAGATGGGATGATGTGTTAGTTGCCTACAACTGGCATAACAAATTACTACAAATTTAGAGGCTACAGAAATCTATTATCTCTCAATTCTAGAGGCCAGAGGTTCAAACTTAAGGTCCCAGTTGGACCATACTCTGTCTGAAGTCAACTTTCTTGTCTCTTCCAGTTCCTGGGGGGCCCTCTCTATTCCTCAGCTTCTTTCACACTCCAGTCTCTGCCTCCTGCCTCACATGACTTTCTTCTCTCTGTGCCTGTTTTTCATCACTTCTTATAAGGATACAAATAATATTTTATTAGTATCCACCTTGCTCTAGAATGACCTCATGACTGAGGACCATAAGTCCTGATAGTTAGGATTAGAGCATAGATTTCTGGAGAATATACAGCAATCCATAACATTGTGAGATCCCATATATTTTGTACTTATTATAATTCTGTGCATAAAAGGATTGTATGCTCATTAAAGGAAATTTAGACAAAATAGAAAATGATTACTTAATTATAATATTGGGAGTTTACTTTTTACTTAAACACAATTTGAATTATGCTATCTATACTGTTTTCTATCCTAATTTGCTCTTGTAACACAAGCATATTTCTGAAACTTTAATATTCTTTGAATGCATTTAATTCTAGGTGTAAGGTCATACCATTGGGGAATGTATTAAACAGCCTCACCAGGCTAAAACCAGTAAGACTGTAGACTTCTAAAAACTCTACAAACAAATAGCCTTACCAATTTTTTTCCATTAATAAGTTGCAAAAAAAAAGCAAGAACTTATAGGAAACTTAGATTATTAGAAATGCCAATAGCGTCAATAATTACACTATGAGGATCTTGCTTATGTCCTACTTTGTTGTTATTGTTATGTGCCATCAAGTCACCTGTGACTCATAGCAACCTTATGTACAACACCTCTGAAACCTGCCCTGTCCTGAGACAGTCTCACTGACTCTGACATACTAACACCCATTGCCCTAAGTTACTGTATCAGTTTGTCTCATCTGGGGTCTTCCTCTCCTGTGCTATTCCTCCACTCTTCTGAGCATGATGTCCTTCTCCAAGGATTGGTCCTTCCTGGCCACATGCCCAAAATATGTGAGACAGAGCTTCAAAATTCTAAGCTTCAAGGAGAAACTTGGTTTCACTCTCTCCAAGACAGACCTATTTGTTTTCTTGGTGGTCCGTAATATATTCAAGACTCTTCTCCACATTTCAAAGGCATCCGTTCTTCTTCGGTCATCTTTAGTCATTGTCTAGTTCTCAGATGCATAGCAAGTAATTGCAAAGACCATGGCTTGGATTAAGGGCACCTTAGTCTCTAAACTGACATCATTGCTTTTCAATACTCTGGAGAGGTCCCTGACAGCAGCTTTACCTAATGCAGTCTATCTTTTGATATCCTGACAGCTGGTGCCAAGAGGGTTAATTGTGGAGCCAAGTAAGGTGTTAACTGTAAGCTCATGTAAAACCTATATTGAAGCAGGAAACAGTCCTCAGAACAGAGCAGTGAAACACTGCATAGTTCAAAATCAGGAAGGGAGTGGATCAGGGATAAGTCCTGTCTCCATACTTTTTCAATTTATATGAATTTTGTGAGGAGGAATGTGGCATCAGGATAGGAGGAAGACTCACCAACAGCCTACATTATGTAGATGATACAACCTAGTTTGAGGAGGACTTGAAATGCTTGCTGCAGAAGGTCAAGGATTATATAGTCTTATAAATTGGAGCTCAACATCAAGAAAACAAAGATTCTCACCGCTGGGCCAATTGGCAGCACCATGATGGAAGAAGAGATTGAGGTTGTTAACAGTTACAGCTCGCTTGTTCTACTTTAAACAACTCAAAAAGAGTAAGAGCACATTGGGAGATGTTTAATGTGAATGCCTGTAGGCAGGGTTCAGAAGTCTACCAGCCATGCCTCATCATCCAGACCAGGGCTCTGTGTCTGGGCAAGTGACAAACAGGTGTATTGTGACTACAGAAATTAATGATGTACCAAGAGCCCGTTTTATCCTAAGGATTCCTCATTTGTGAATTTACAGAAATAGAGTCAAATTAATATTGGGCTTTTTCATTTCAGGTTGACTCCCTATTTTCCCCCAACAGCTTTATTGCAATATAGGGAACTCTGTTGGCATAGTCCATTGATTCTAATCTACCAGCAGCCCTGTGGGGAGAAAAAATGAACAGTTTCCTCCTATGAAATATGCAGCCTCAAAAATCCAGTCAAGGCTCAGCTCTGAGTCAGCTCCAACTCTATAACAATGAGTGAGTTATTGAGATACAATTCAAATAACATAAAAATTGCCTTTCAAAGTATACCCTTCAGTCATTTTCGGTATGATCACGGCGGTGCAGCCGCACCACCATCTAGTTTTACATTTCTATCATCCTAAAAAGAAATGTGTGTAGATTGAATGAAAGTGTAATTGCAGTGTTATAACACAAAATGCATATGAATGAAAAACCCCTATGATTTGTAAACTCTCACTCAAATAAATGTTTGAAAACACCAAAAGCAAGATTTACTTACAGAGCTACAGTAATCATGAGACACTCTAGTATTGATCATATTAATGAAACAGAATTGAGAACTGAGAAGTAGATCCATACAAATAGGTCTAATTGGTAGTTGTTTTGTTTTTATAAAGCTTTACTAGAACGTAAGATAATTTTTTTAAAACCCCATGTCAGTAGAGGAAAAGGTGGGTAAAGGAAATGGGAAGGATGTAGTGTGAAAAACAATGTATACGAAATTTGTAAGTAAACCAGTAGAAAATATTTTTTTTCTTTTGCTCAATTCTTTAATGACAGATATTTTGGTATTTTTCTTTCTTTTTTTTATTAATTTTAATGAAAGTTTACAGAGACTTAGGGTTTCTAGTCATTCATTGTTGTACTTTTCTCCCTGCCTGCCCCCTCTCCCTAATTCACTCTTCTCCTTGAAAAGTAAAACTCTTTCATTGTTATGCAATCCCTGCCCCCAAGTCCACTCCACTGTGCAGCCTTCATTCTGGACTCCTGTCATGACAATAATACCTAATCATATATCCCTTTTAAACAATTCTTTCTCTCATCTGTTTCAATGCAGTATATATCATTCATCCCCTCTTTCTCTGTCTTCCCTCCATCTCAGTGTCAGTCCCATTTTACAACAGTGGCCCTATGCAATATTTGTTCTTTTGTGACTGAGATATTTCACTCAGGATAATGTCCTCCAGGGTCACCCATTTTGTGTAATATTTAATGAATTCCTTGTTTTTCAGTGCTGCATAGTATTCCATTGTGTGAATATACCACAGCTTCTCTAGCCATTTGTTTATTGTTGGGCACTTGGGTTGTTTCCAACTCTTTGCTATTGTTAACAAAGCCACAATAAACATGGGTGTGCATATATCTGCTTGGGTGGCAGTTATAGTTTCTTTAGGATAAATTCCCAATATTGGAATTGCTGGGTCAAATGGTATTTCTATTTGCAACTTTTTGAGAGCTGGAAACGCCTCATTTTTATATGGTTTTATATAACTTGAATTTTTCCCAATGTAAATACAGTATACAAATTAGAAATAATGAATCATTTTGATAAATTTAAATGTCTTTAACAATGTGCATGTGGTCTGTAACAAGTGGTAATATATTGAAAAGCCTGTGTAATCACTAATGATACACATTAAAGAAGAAACTAATAAAGCTCCCACTAAATCCATTGCCCTCAAGTTTATTCTGACTCATGGAGACCAATGTAAGAGAGTAGCCCCGCCTATAAAGCTGGCAAGGCTGTACTCTTTCTGCCTGCGGAGGGTCCCATGTTTCTCCACAGAGTGACTGGTTCAAAACACCAGCCTTTTGGTTTGCAGCCATGTTCTTTATCACCAGGGTCTTTATTAAAGATTCTACAAGATAGTGACTAATAGACTAGGACCAGGAAAGACAGGATGCTTCAAGATAGTTAAAGTTGAGACAAGACTAAAGGAGCCTGAGTCACGGAGATGAGAGAAGGCAGGTCTAGAGATCTGATTGCTGCCAAATGTGGAAATGCATGTGGTGGCTGTGAAAAGCCCCTGCTGGTCACGGTGCCTCAGACTCCTGGTCTGTACACACGTAGTGCTACCTGCTTCCCTGAATGTCATTGTCATTACATACACCAATTCAGAACCAACTCACAGTTGACCCTTCAGTGGGGTTTCAGAGGCAGTTTAATGGCTCTGGAGGAGATTGCCCATCTTTTTCCCACAGAGTAGCTGGTGAATTTGAACCCCATGTGTTTGGGTTGGCAGCACAGCTCCTTACCACTAAGCCACCAGAGCTTCTTGATTGCAGAGGTAGATTCAGGCAAAGATAGGCAAGGAGGTGTTTTTTAACACCTGCACCCAGGGCAGTGAAGGGTCAGTGTGTGAGGCAGTGACTAGTCAGTCACAGAGAGGCCACGCCTCAGTGCTAACACGGCCTGTGTGCTCTCTGTCTGTGCAGGGCCTACCATGACGGGGGTGGCTCCCTCCTTCTCCAGTGTTCTGAAGGATTGCACTGTCATTGAGGGCCAGGACTTCATGCTGAAGTGCTCTGTACAGGGGACCCCGGTGCCCCAAATCACTTGGCTGCTGAATGGTGAGTTCCCGCTGCCCCAGCCTCCTGCTCCAGTCTCCCCTTTCTGCCATTTCTGTACTCTTCTCCTCACACCACTCCCACTTGTCACTCTGAACTGTGTGTGGCTGTGTCATTCTAGTGGCTGAAGAAAGCAGCACGAGGGCAGGGATGACCCAGCAACTGGAGTCTGCAAGTAACTGGATGCAGACACTGGCCATAATGCTACTTGTCAGAGTCTTGAGTTCTTCATCTGTAAAATGGGAATATAGTCATCCACTTTGTGTGGCAGTCATGGATTTCAAATCAGATCATTTCCAGAAAATTCTCAGTAAGCTGCCTGGCACGTAGGCACGTAAGCTATTTCATTCTCTTTGCTAAATTGAGAGCAGGCCACCAACAAATATTTGTCAAGTCAGCAGATGAACAAATGAGCGAACAGACTAATTAAGTGTCTGAGATAACTTGCCTTATATTTAGTAGCAGGTGGTTTGGGGAGTCATAGACCAGTAATTATTTTTCATTTTATCGTCCTACAGACCTTTCTTCCTTTTTTACAAGGAGGTCCTTTGGAAAATTAATTACCAAATATTATTACTCACAGTAAAACAAGTGGGACCGTTTCCTCAGAAAGCTGAACATAGAAATTCCGTATGACTCAGCTATTCCCCTGCTTGGAATATACCCTGAGAAAATGATGACTGAGGCACAAACAGAAACTTGTACACTAATGTTCATAGCCGCATTATTCACCACAGCAAGAACATGGAAACAGCCCAAATGTCCAACCACAATGGAATGGATTGAGAAATGAGGGTACATTCACAGATGGAATAGTATGCAGCAAGCAGGAGCAATGATTTTGTAAATCACTACCGGACTTTGGAGAGACTGGAGAGCATTAGGCTGAGTGAACTCACGCAAATCCCATAAGGACAAATACTGTTTAAGATCATTATTGTAGATCCTGTATGAGGATCCAAGAGGGGAAGGGTGGGAGAAGAGGGGTGAGGATAGGCAGGGGAGGAGGTGTTAATTATAGGGTCACACAATTTGATGGGTGGAGAGATGAGTGGATAAAGGAAATAGGAAAGATCAGTATGAAAAACAATGTATGCGAGCTTTTAAGTAAACTAGGATATAATAATATTTAAAAAAAAAAAAATAAGAACAATAACAAAAAACCCAACCAAGTGGGATCAGCGTGGGGATGGCCGTGCCTGACCTCCAATAACTCCACAAAGGGAAATAACTGCCATCCAGAACATCAACAGAATAAAACCAATTCCTGTGAAGTGAAGTCAGACATATCCCAATACTCCCACATCTTCCCAGGGCTCTAAGTACTCAGCTCCTGGGTCCTGTAGTCCTTTGCCATGGTCACAGATCACACTCATGATATTGGTTTTTTAGGGAAGTTAACACATTACAATTCAGGTTCTACAGTTCTTTAGTCTGGGCAGTGTCTCAAGTGGGCTCACAGGCCCTTTGTCCTTTGACCTTTAGCCTCATGACTTTAGGTCAGTACTACAAAGCGCTCTTTTTATTTGTTGTTGAGTTGAAACAGACTCATAGCTGACTTTCCAGTGGGTTTTCAGAGGCTGTAAGTCGAGCAGGAGGAGAATATCCATCATTCTGCCATGGTGCAACTGGTGGATTCGAACTGCTTGTCTTTGGGTTGGCAGCTCCTTATCACTAAGCCACCACAACTCCCTGCAGAGCTCTGCTAGTTTTGACGTCTCCCTCCTCCATCCTTCCTTTTTCTTGGATGAAAGACCCCAGCCCTGATTCTGACTCTGTGGGGCAACTGTCCTTGGTCAGCGCTGTCCACGTTGGCCTGTGCTTGTTCGTGGCTACTGTAGAGTCTCCATTCTTTCACAGGAATCACTTTGGCCCTGAAGGACCCTTGCTGCATTCTCTGCTTCTTTCATGCTGGTACTGTGAGTCCTATTTCCTGCCACAGGGCGTCTCCCTTTAAACCTGGCAGAACGGCAAGGCTGACCAATCCCCTCATTAGTTTCTGCCCACCTTGTTTGTATGTTGCCACTCAGACAAGTGGTGGTCAGCTAAGTGACAATAGTAAAAGCCAATGAGCTAGGAGAGCCATGTTGAACAATCCTACACCACACCCCTCCTTTTTAAAGGGGTCCTTTAATGCCAAAAGTGGAACCCTTTCATTTTAGACCTAAATGAATGACATCTATTGAATTGACAAAGTTGAGCAGGGCAGGTACCAGTCCTTCTCACTCAACCATTTGTTGAGAGAATGGAGGTTTCTCATCCCTCTCACCCCCAACAAAGATAGAACTGTCATTTCCTGTGCATGGCAGGAGGTTCCACGAGGTAGACCACCAGAATGTGGAAGTTAAGAGCTCGTGTTGGGTGTTGTTATTGTTGTTATGAACTGTCGAGTCTGAACTGGCCTATAGCTGACCCTCCAGCGGGTTTTCAGAGGCAGCAAATTACACGGGAGGAGACTGCCCATTCTTCTCCTGTGAAGCAGCTGATGGATCCAATCTGTGTGCCGTTTGGGTTGCAGTATAGCTTCTTGCCACTAGGCCCTTTACTCTAGAGCTCCCTGATGGGTAAGTTGGCTTGATTTCTATTTAGCTGTCCAAGGGCCAGCAAACATTTCCTGTAAAAGGCTGCAGAGCAAGCATTTTCATCCTTTCAGGACATAAACCCTCTGTACCAACTCCTCAGCTCTGCTGCCATAGCACAAAAGCAGCCATAGAGGTAATTATGTGAATGAGATAACATGGCTGTGTAGCAACAAATTTTATTTATGGACCCTGGAATTTGAAGTTCAGAAAATATTCATAAATCATGTAATAGTCTTTTTTTTTTAACCACTTAATATTGTGAAACTGTCCTTAGCTTATAGGCCATACAAAAAGAGACACAATCACATTTGGTGCATAAGCCATTGTTTTTGTTGATATGTGCCCTCAAGTTACTACCAACTTACAGCTGACCCTCCAGTGTTTTCAGAGGCTCTAAAACACAGGGCAAGTGAGTGTCCGTCTTTGTCTCATAGAGCAGCTGGTGGATTCAAACTACCTGTATTTATGTTGGCAGTGCAGTTCCTTACCCAGTAGGCCACCAGGGCCTCCTGTCCGTAAGCCATAGTGTGTACGATGCAGTGCACTGCTAACCAAGAGCCAAATGTTGCTTGTGGATCAAATCCAGCGGGTGCTCTGTGGGAGAAATATGGGAAGTCTCCTGTAAAAATGTATGGCTTAAGTAATCCTGTGGAGGATCATCATGAGTTGGAGTCAACTCAATGGCATTGAATTTGAGTTTGTCGTCACCTATTTAGAACTTGAAAAACAGTCTCATTTTATTCTTGAGGATTCTTGACATTTCTACATGTGTTCCAGTAGAGGGCGCCCATGCTCAAGTTGAGTTTTCTCAGATACTAGTTTTTGTTTTGGGTGGTTTGGGGTTTTTTAAACATTTTTATTTTATGTTCATTTGCTTACAAAATTTGTATATACTGTTTCACACCATCCCTCCTTCACATTGTGTTTCATACAGTCATTCCTATTCATTATGTTTTATAAAATTAATCACCATTGGACTATGCATACCATTACCCTGTCTTTTCGGATCCCCACCAGATCTTTTCCACTGCCTTTACCTCCCCTCCCTCTACCCATCAAATTGTGTGACCCTATGATTACTTCCATACCCATCCTCACCCCTGTGCTCCCACCGTCTCCCTCTTGGATCCTCATACACGTTTTACTAGTTATCTTTCTATTTCTACAATAGTGGGCTTATGGCTGTTAATTGTTAAGACACCCAGCTTTGGAGCCGGAAGATTCAGTCTTTCTAATCCTAATATGCCCTGAACTAACAAATCCTTTATGAGCCCACCATTCCATCTCATATTTGGGGAGCCAAAGTGAATAAAAGGAACTGTCTCAACACACAGCATAAGCATGTTGGGGGCAATTGTGGAATGTTCCAGAATTCTCAGTGAAGTTTTAGCTGTGTCATTATCTTAAAAAGTAGAAAGAGCAGCGCTGAGTCCTCTCTGTAGCAGGGTTTAATCCCTGCCTTTCCCAGCTCCATCCGCACTTTTATCAAGTATAGTAGGTGTGGGGACTCTTGCCTCTGACATGCTAGAGGGTCTCTCTTCCACACTGTCAGAGAGGCACTAGGTGTTGCTATGTGCAGAAGGAAACACAGCATACAGACAGAAGACTTGTTTCTGTATCTCCCACCCTCACCAACACCCTTACTTCTATGAGATGCAAACCCTGTGCCCTGGTAAAGAAACTGACACTTGCTTCTCCTATAGCAAGTGGACACATTTCGGCTCTGAGGCTAGCATCTCCAGTACTGAGATTTTTTTTGTTATTATAACTCTCTGGAAATGAAAACTTATGTCCTAGAAGGACAGAGTCCCAGGAACAGCATATAGAGCATTCGGGGAGGAGCTGAAGTTCTCTGCAGGCATGCCCGTCTCCAGAGAGGTGCCTGGTTGGAAGGGGCCACGTCGTTTCCATTTTCCTTTTGTGTCTTGTCTTTGAACCCAAAAGTGCCCCAAATTACACAGAAGAAATGCACTAAATGGTAACATTAAGTCATGGGCACTAACTTGTTTTCTGACACATGTCTGCAAGGGGAGATAGAATCATCATTTCTAGAGATGTGTAAAGGAGTGGCCTGGACTGGAGGCCAGATGCCCTGGTGATGTTCTTTTCCAGGTCCAAAATTCTGTAGAGGGACCCTTTATAAGATTGACTACCTAGAACAGGGTTCCTTTCCATTCTGGGTTCTAAATTCCCCTAGAGTCCCTTTTCCAGCCGGTGCCCTTGCCTTTACAGCCCCGGCTCCTGTCTTTCTCAGCCTCCAAGCCCTGTCTGACTGCTGGGTTGGACCTGACTTGTCATGAGCCCTCAGTAGACTGGAGTGGGCACAGCACCTGGCCCCTGGCGGTGGTGCTCCTGTTCCCGCCATGCTGCTCTGTGTCCTCACTCACCTGTGCTTCCCTGCAGGGCAGCCCATCCAGTTTGCCCACTCCACCTGTGAGGCCGGTGTGGCCGAGCTCCGCATCCAGGACGCCCTGCCAGAGGATGATGGCACCTACACCTGCCTGGCGGAGAACAGCTCGGGACAGGCGTCCTGTAGTGCCCACGTCACCGTCCACGGTAGGCACCTCCAGGACCCTCCTAGAAGCATCTTGTCTATATGCACATATACTCTTCAGAGATGGGGCCTTAGGCCTGAAGGTGGGCAGGTGGAGGAGGTGGGCTCCAGGTGCACACAGTGACATCAGTCCACATGAGAGACAGACCTGTAAAGGCTGTGGGAACAGACAGGACGTCCCTCAGCTCAGGAAGCTCCCGTCACACACACAAGACACTTCTTCCAGACTTAAAATCTCTCAAATGACCCCTTAGTTGGGGACACTGGGTAACAGAGTGTGGGCATTAAGTCTTCCTGAGGGTCACAGGTTATGCCTCTTCTCCTACAGCCCCTCCCCCGGGCTTGTTTATGTCCACCACCAGTAATCTGATTATCATGGCTGTCCATTGATCAGCTCCAAGCACTTAGTCCTAGGAAATCCCAGCAGAGCCCTGGACTCGAGTCTGAGCTCTGTGGGCTGTGGTGTCGGGCATGCTGACAGTTCCGGGGAAGAGCTACTGGGGCCCAGGGCTTTCAGGTAAGCAGCACGCCCCACCTCCCCCTTGACCCGAGCCCCGGGCACTATGCATGGCTGGGCCCCCTGGGTGCTTGAACAACTTCTCGTCTCCTCGCTGCTCCCAGGCAGGGCTCTGTCCCCTCTGTGTGTGTCTCCTTGAAGTGAGAGCCCCCTGGAAGGCTGCAGCAAATTGCTTTTCCAAAAAGTTATTATTGTTTTTGTTGTTTATGGTCAAGTCAGAACCAACCCTTAGGTGACCCTCCAGAGGGTATTCAGAGGCAGTATATAGCCCAGGAGGGAATTATCCATCTTTCTCCCAATCAGCAGCTGGTAGATTTGAACCATGTGCCTTTGGGTTGGCAACACAAATCCTTACCACTAGACCAACAGAGCTCCCTAGGAAGAGAAAGAGAGAAAAATAACATTTTTTGCTTATAGTGTTGAATACTCTTTCCTCAGCCATGCTTATTTAGAACTCAGTGAGAAGGCTGCTGTCCCCATGCTGTGCACAAGGGCCCAGAGGTCTCATAAAGTTGGTGTAACACAAAAGCTAACAGGGAAGCTGGCCACTGAGCCCAGATCCTTATCAGGGAAGCCTATGCCCATCTCCATGCCCTGCCTTTTCCTCCACTTGCCTGTGGACTGACTGCCTGAGGCAGGAGGCTGGGGACCGCAGGCTGGGCAGTACCACTTGCACAGTGGAGGATGTCACCCACCTTACCAAGAGAAGGCATGCTCCGTGGACTTTCTGCCCATGAATTCATTTTCCGGATTCCTCCACAGCCCTCCACACGGGTCAGGCACACTGGCCTAAAGAGTTGAGCACCCAGCATTCTGGACGACACGTCTATCCCATTTATCCTCACATTTCTAGTTTTGTGGCTCACTGAAGGACCTTGGGAAACTATGGTGTTATCAATTAAGATGAAAGGGAATGTATCTGAAGGTTATCTCTGGGGCCAAGTCTCACTTCCTCCCATCACCTTCCTACCTTCTTGGTGGTCCTCATGGCCCACCCCAAAGTCGAGTGCTTGACAGAGTCAGCGTGGCATTCTGAGCCCCATGGCTCAGCTTTCTGTTTTCTGAGCTGCTCCTAGCTAATCTTGTGCCTGTCCCCAGATGACTGTGTTTAGAATGGATTAGAGAGGCCCAGCTGAGCAATAGTCCCTTCAGAGGTGGGGATCCCCAGATCAAGACTTTTGGGGGGCTATTCTTCTTGCTCTGGGGCTTGGAGGCAGCTGCATGATCACATACACATGTGGGTTTTAAAGCAAAATTGTGGAGCACGGGGCAAGGGCTCAGCCCGCTCAGTCTGCTCTGCAAACAGCCCCGCGTGAAGGAGAACCCCGCCTTCCTGGTGTGGAGGATTTACTGGCCTGTGAAGGCAAACGGAGGCTCAGATACCATAAATGGTGAAGGCGGCTGAGAGGCACAGCCACTCGCTTGGCTGGGCAGGACCCAGGCCGTTCCCGCACAGGATCGGGGCAGGGCAGCCTGGCACAGCGGCCCCTCTGGCACTGCACCCCTCAGCACTGAGGAGGCTGGAGCTGTTTGGTGCTCCATCCTCACTGTGCAGTTTTTCCTACTTTATTAACTGTTTCTCTCACTCCAAGTCATCCAAGGGCAGGTTTTAAGAGTTGAGCGAGAATGACCTCCAGCATGTGTCTCACTCTCCCCTGCCTGCCCAGGCCTCAGAGGCTCTGAACCACAAAGCAGAGAGGGATCGAGCAAGGCTTGTGGGGCAGGATGTCTTGGCCTGCGTGTGGACTTTGACTTTCCCACTTACTAGCCCTGCAACCAGGCTCATGATTTAACACTCTGGGCCTCATCTTCCTTTTCTGTCAAATTGGGCAGTGGTAGTCACAATAAGGCTTAAATTAGTGCAGAAACAGTGTCAGTTTACCCTGTAAACAAGGTGAGTACAAGCTGATTTACTAATCTCTCAATTCTCATTAACCTCATTGCTGTCAACTCAGACTGACTCAGAGCTGACCCTCCAGTGGGTTTTCTGAAGCTGTAAATCGCACAGAAGGATACTGTCCATCTTTCTCCCTCAGACCTCCCAGTGGGTTCGTACTTGGGGAGAGGCACTGCCTTTGGGTTAGAAGCACAACTCACTATGTATGTGCTGCTAATCTCCAGGAAGCAATTTGACCTTTTTCTATCACAGCAAAGATTCTACTTCTAAATATGGTTTGCACCTAGCTCTCTTCCAAACCCCACAGCTCCTTTTTACAGAATTGTAAATTTTTACAATTGTTCTTTTAAAGTTTACAATCCCTGACAGAGACAGCATAGTGGTAAGGAATTGCACTGCCAATCCAAAAGTCCATGGCTCGAATCGGCTAGCTGCTCGGTGGGAGAAAGATTGACAGTCTCCTCCTATGCCATTTACGGCCTCTGGAAGTCCATTGGAGGGTCAGTTCTAACTCGACAGCACACAACAACAATAACAGAGATGGGGCACCCAGTAAACAAGGAAAGCAAAGATTTGCTTGCCTTGTGGCCAGTTTCACATGTTTTTCTCTGAAAAGCCTTACTTTCCTTATCCTTTTGGCAACTCTGGCCCTGAATAGATGTAGCGTCTACAGAACAGAGGAAATATTCATTCAGTGTTACAATCATCCAACAAAACCCAGACCTCTAAACAAGCTAAAATAGGGACAAATACCAAGATAGAAGAACAGTTCTATGAAAAGATCAGCCTTGCCATAATGAGTTGTTTTATGGTAAAGAGAAGAGAATTAGAAGAAAAGGATAGGAAAGATGTCTTAATGGAAACAGGGAACACAGGAGGATCTGAGAAGAGTGCTGCTACAATATGGGACTGTCATCACTGTCGCAAAGCACAGTGTGTGTGCATCATTAAATGGAAAATTATTTCTCTCAGTAAACTTTCATTCAAATCACAATAAGGGGTTAGTTTCGATAAGAAAAGGAATCAAGAAAGTGGTGGACCAGATACCTAGTCTCAGGCGTTTCACTTCCAGGCTCTGCCATGAGATGGCGCTGTTCAGCAGCACATTCCCTCTAAATGTCCAGTTTCTGAGGAGCCTTTTCTGAGGGCAGCTGAGTTGGGGACAAGTTCTGTCCAAAGTCAGCACACACTTTGCTGAAGGCCAGATGTGAGGACTCTTTCTTACCTCTTTAGTCTTTTGCCAAGGTTTTGCAATCTTTCTGAAATTGCGGTTCCAGCAGTTGTTGTAGCCACCCGTCCCTGCTTTCTCCCTTTCCCCTCCTCTCCTCTACTGCTCCCTCGCTCAAAAACCTCGGTACCTCCCACAGATGTCACTTTGTCAAGAAGGCCTTGTACTTGAGAGAACCTAGTTTGCTATCAGATGCTGCTCTGGGAACATTCCATCAGACAGGAGCAGGTCTGCCTGTGACATTTACCCAGATGGGGAGCCTTACAGCCACCAACCAGCACCTGGCTTAATGTTAAATAATGATACTGCCATTGAATTAATTCCAACTCATAGAGACATATATGGAAGAGTAGACCTGTCTCAGTGGGTTTCCAAGGCCGTTAAACTTTGCAGAACCGTATTGCCTCTGCTTTCTCCTGGGGAGCAACTGGTAGTTTCAAACCACCCCTCTTCCTGTTAGTGGTCGGGTGCTTATTAACCCCCTTACGGCTCTGTCAAATAATGGTAAGTACCATTTGAAAAACAAGCATGGTGGACGAAAGCGAATGAAGGAAGAGGCACTTTTTCAGTGGGACACTGAGCTCATCTCTGAGGAGGTGACATTTGAGCAGAGATTTCAATGAACTGGGGGGAAAGTGTTGCAAGCAGAAGATACAGCAAATGCTGGTGCCCTGAGTGGAGAACAGCATTGTCCTGTTCAAGGAACAGCAAGACGGGTAGTGTGGCCAGAACACAGGACAGAGGCTGAGTTGCAGGAGGAAGGATAGGTCACGCGGGGTCTCCATCAGTGAACAGAGAGGGGATTATTACCCTGTGTGACTCGTTACTCTTATTAGTATTTTAACCTTTTACTGCAGTTAGATTGAGAGATGTAGATAGAGCACAGTGGTTTCCTACTCAATAATTCATGCAAACTTTGTTTTTTATTTTGGTTGTGACTTCTTTGATGTACAGCCTCCTCTCCCTTCCTGCCTGGGTTTCCCATTTCCATGAATCCTTCTTTCCTGCCCCTTCCTGCAGTCTGAGCTTGTTTTGGGTAAACGATGCCCTTGTATTGTTGATTGTATTAAGGAGTACATTCCTCCCTTTGTAAGACTCTGTTGTTTGGTCAGAAGTTGTTCCCCAGTAGTGGGTTCAGAGAAGGTTTGGAAGGGAGCTCTGATGGCCTAATGGGAATAGTGCTTCCATGCCAGATAAGGCTTAAGGGTGTCTACAAGCCAAAGTCTTTGGGGTCTGTTGGTTTCTAGCACAATAATAAGTCTGGATTTTGTAATGGATTTAAATTTTGGTCTGCATTTTTCTCTCTTCCAATTGTGTTGGTGGGGTGTTGTGTTTGGTGGTGGTGGTATTTGGTTTTTTT